GCTTTCTCTCATGCTGCAGCATGACAACTGATGTGCCTGGTAACATTTTTACTCCAGTTCCCACCAGGTGTAGCTGTGTGAGATTCATTGATGCAAATATTAAATTCCTTCAGGAACTGAACTGCACTTTCAGCCCTACTGATTTCCTGGGGCATTAAGTTCCACAAGTTGACAGTATGCTGTTACATAAGTATTTGCCTTTCTATATACACATTTATAACTCTAATCTGTGTATACACACATACACTCATTGAAAAATCCTAGATGTAAATTTCATTGAAAGCTTATTCTGATAACTATTTATCACTTAGCATATCTGGATCCAGCTCAAGTTTAAAATCTATTTAGTTAGAAACTCACACTCTTTGATAACTCTGTTTTACTTGCAATGTAATAAAAAATAAAGGTAAGCTGAAAAATAATTTTTCCTTTAAGTATCTCTGCTCCTGACACACTGTGTGACCTTGGATGAGTCACTCCCCCTCTCTTTGGTGGAGTTTCCCCATGTACGGGGGGAATAACGATACTAAGCACCTCCTGCAAATGTGAGGAGTTGTCTTATGCTTTATGGGGATGCAGCCTACCAAGTCTATAACCACCAGCTACTATATTACTTATGCATCCAAGCTGTTACACTCTTACCCTGCTCTATTACCTTTAAAAAATTTAGGAGAGCTTTTTTACTATTACCCCCTGTTCCCAACACTCTCACTAACCCCTTCACAGTATATTCTGTCACCGTAAAGTGTCCAAGTTCATCAGAAAGAGCCTCTCTTTCCTGGATGGCTCCCTGTATTCCTGTATCAGCTGATTGACTGTCTATTTAACCTGAGGTGTTACATAACCCAGCTCTGTGTCTCTTCAGTACATACCAATTATTATTTAAACCACAGTAGCTAGTTAACAGTCTAAATATGAGCACTTCACTGATCTTTTCAGAACTTTGGAATGGCGCATTATCCTCTATTTTGGGGCACACTTGATAGAATCTCTTTTCTACTTGGTCCACAATTCTTGCCATTCCTTTTTTAACTTACCTGCATAATTCCTGTTTACTCAAAGGAATCTTTATATAAATGTCTCCATTTTTAGACCATTTTCCACTTCTTTCTCTGCCATTTCATTGCCTGGGATCTCAGCATGTGCTGGGATCCAAGCTAGTACTATATTTAACCCAGGCGTACTAACTCTGTCAAAAAACAATATTTCATTTTTTAGATCATTCTTGCTTTTTCTGAGGTACTCTTTTGAATTACCAGTATACCTGATAATGAATCCAAAAAGAGAACAGCTGCGGTAGGCGGTATGTGCCTTATCCAGTTTAATGCTAACATTATTTCCACCAATTCCGCTGTCATAATGGCTACAAAATTAAATATTCTCTTAGATTGAACTCTAATCTCAGGGATGTAAAAAGCTTCTCCAACTCAACTATTGTTTTTATCTTTAGATCCATCACTATACATTTCGCCATGGCAACTCCATTTGCCATATATAACTCAAACTTAATCTGTCATACACGATGACACGTCCCCCCTTTATTTGATTACATAATTCTAAATCAAAATCCGGAGAGATGATTTTCCAAGTATAATTTACAACCTCACAACTATGGATCTTACTCTCTTCTTGTCCTTCCTTTTTGCTCAACTCTTTTACCCACACTTTAACCACAAGAGCATGAGCGAGATCATTGTGTTGGGCTTTGTATCATCTGCTTAATTCCCAACATTACTCATATTTGTCCACTATTCTTCTGTGCTCTGTTTCCCTTGACTTTAGTCCAGAACATCAGAGCTAACATTTTCGTTCTTACACGGATAGGCGTTAATCCAGTAGCTACCTGCATTACACACACGGGTGGTATAGGGAATGCACCACAGGCAATTCGTAGTGCTTGAGCGTGAATTCACTAACTTCTTAAGCTCCAATCTGGATGCAGATCTTAAGACTTGATTCTTGTCATCTATGACTGATCTTATTAATGCTCTACATGGCCTCATGAGCACTTTCTTATTTGCTCCCCAATTAATTCCAGCAATACTTACAAGTAGATCAATTCTACCCTTACATTTGTTTGTACTACTGTCTATATGGCTCCTCCAAGTACATTTGTTATCAAAGAGTACCCCTAGAGATGTAAAACTGCTCTGTGCACCTGTTCTCCATAGAGAGATAAATGACATTCAGTTTTAATCTTTCTTCTTGTGAAGATCACTCCCTTTGTTTTAATGATAGAATGGGGAGCTGCTTGTAGATTTAAATTTCAGAGACCTCCCCGAGTGCTTCAGTGAGGTTCTCTCTAGCCACTCTCATTCTCCTGGGTTTAACTCATGTAACCCTTTTGTGAGGAGTATTCATAAAATTGTAGGAATGCAAAGGACCTCAAGAGGTCTTCTAACCCAGTCCCCTGCACTCAAGGTAGGACTAAGTATTATCTAGACCATCCCTGACAGGTGTTTGTCCAACCTGCTCTTAAAAATCTCCAAGGATGGTGATTCTACAACCTCCCTAGGCAATTTATTCCAGTGCTTAATGACCCTGACAGGAAGTTTTTCCTAATGTCCAACTTAATCCTCCCTTGCTGCAATTTAAGCCCATTGCTTCTGGTCCTATCCTCAGAAGTTAAGAATATTTTTTTCTCCATCCTCCTTGCAACAGCCTTTTATGTACTTGAAAACTGTTATGTCCCCTCTCAGTCTTCTCTTCTCCAGACTAAACAAACCCATATTTTTTCAATCTTTCCTCATCATAGGTCATGTTTTCTAAAAGTTTAATCATTTTTGTTGCTCTTCTCTGGATGTTCTCCAATTTGTCTACATCTTTCCTGAACTGTGGCACCTAGAACTGGACACACCACTCCAGTTGAGGCCTAATCAGCGTGGAGTAGAGCAGAAGAATTACTTCTTGCATCTTGCTTGCAATACTGCAACTGTCAAAGAAAGCTATTCGGTTGGTTTGACAGGATTTGTTCTTGACAAATCCATGCTGACTGTTACTTATCACCTTTATTATCTTGATTTCAGATCCCTGGATGGAAGGTGCTAACTTTTGCTATTTATTATTATTTTAGCTAATCGGCGTACTTGGACTTTTCCAATGCAATGCCATAGGTAACGAACATAAAATAAAAGATAGCTGAATCAGTAGCAGTAGAAGGAGTTGTTCCCAAATGTTTGGGGGTAAAGGTTTGCACTTTACAGCAAGACAGAGTGCTCTCAGTGCCTGCTCCCCTGATTTGCGTATGTAATTGACAGCTCATTAACTGCTCATTAGAAACATAGGGATCCTTATGACAAAAACAAACCCTAGCGTCTCAGAAGGGGGCAAAGATCCTGCTTGGGAATTACTGAGGAAACTCGAAAAGATTCACAACAGGCCAGAAAGCAGCCTGCCTGCCAGGAAATAGACACCCTGAAGGCTGTAAACACCTAGGATGGAGAAAAGAATTGTTCTGGGTGTTCGGAGAGAAGCTAACACAGAACCTGTCCATTCTCCACTTGCCTGGCCCATGTTTGCTGGCCATGGGGGGTTGCATAGGAGCTGCTAGTTGTGGTGGCTCTGTGCAACTTCCAGAGTCCCCTACACAGGTGAAGTCCTCCTGTGATCAGCTACAAGTCCGCCACAGGCTTCAGCCAGAACTATCAGGGCATGACAGTGTTTAGTGAGGCTGAGTGGTCTCCTCTGGACTCAAGAGTGAGGGACTGCTACCCTCCCCCTGGTGGGCAGAGCCAATCCTGTCCGGTCGAGCCAAAGCTGCCCAGCCTCCTTTGCCAGAAGTAGTGGGGCAGGACAGGAAGTATAAAAGGAGGCCCCTGTAGCTCAGTTGGGGCTGGAACAGGGAAGGAGGTAGGCATCTCTTCTAGGAAGCCAAGCCCGCTCTGGGATCCTGGACCAGCGGCCAAGCAGACTAGCATCCTGCTGCCTGAGGAGGCTGAAGGCTCTGAGGAGTTACTGGAGAGGATGCCACCCGACTGCCAAGCGGCAAGATGGATCCCGGTGTCGACAGAGCAACGACGGCAGAGTTGGGTAGGAAGTAGCCGTGGGGAACCAGACTTTGGTCCGGTTGCACTGCTGGCAAGTGAGACAGCGTGTATGTGTTTCCTTGCTGACCCAGGAGCGGGACCACCTGCCACTAACAGGGCCCTGGGCTGGGACCTGGTGGAGTACGGTGGGCCTGGGTCCTCCTACCCTCTGCTGCTGGGATATGGAGGTGGAGCTGGCAGTAGCCATGGTACCAGATGTAGTAAAAAAGAGCATGTGGAGGAGGGGCATGAAGATGATGGTAAGAGAGGCAAAGGGGAAGATTTTTAGCTAGCCCCCCACCACCACCACCTTTTTCCAAAACAGTCAGAATGGCCAGGCTGAGTTTAAGGGAACCCCTTACCCCAGTCAGATACGGGGAATGAGTTCTTGAGTCATAACAAATTCTAGAGGCTGGATACAAAATAAATACCCATGAGAAAGTGATTGTTTGGGAAAATAATACTTACCACTCACACAGCAATTTATGCCTTTGAAGCACTAGACAAATATTCATATTCTCAGAACACCCCACAAGGCAGCTGCTATTATTTATCAGCCTTGCAGAGGGGGAAACTGACACACAGAGCAGTTATGGCCCAAACTGTTTGGAGAAGGGTGCCTACAGTTAGGCACTTAAATGCATAATTAAGCATTTACTAAGCAGCCTGATCTTCAGAGTGGCCTGATCTTCACCTACAGTTCCCAGTGATTTTCAAGATATAGAGGATGGAACACTGGCCCCGCTGAACTCAGTGGCAAAATTCCTGTTGACTTCAATGGGATAGGATTTCACCAAGTGCCGAGGGGGCTATCTTTGTGGGATGCAGTTTTGCATATTTTGGTTGATGTGACTAGTGCTCTTGGACGCCCTCCCCTTACATGCTCTCTAAAAACCATGAGGATGACCACTGCCCATCCTGAAGGACAATCCAGTTCCATTTCTTGTGCTCTTCCCCATCACAGGTGACCAGGAGTCTCTATTCCTTGCCTGATCCATGAGTAAAGAAATTGGTGGTGACATTCACAGAGGGAATCCCAGATGGAGATCCTGCAGCCCACCCATGGATCCCACTCCTAAGATCAAGGGATTCTAGCCCCAGCCCTGAGAACAATGAAGGTTTTGCCCGCCCCTGCTCTGGTTGTCCAACAGTCAGTACCATGGCCCTGTGATGAAGTCCAAGTGACAGAAATAGGAGACGGAGACGACGAAGAGGAGGAAAAGGACTAGAATGGCCTTCTCTGCCTAGCTGCCAGCCCCTTCTCTGCGAGTGCCCACTGAAATAGCAAAGAACAATTTAAGTTTCTTTGTCTCCCTTATCAGTGTGAGCAGCCAATGTGCTATGGCAACTACAATCTTGAAAGTCGGATGTGAGGGGAGGGGGCTATCCAGCTGTGGGGAATGAATTGCTGGCACACTCAAGGGGCCAGTCCAAGTAAGCCCGCCTGCTACAACAAGATAAGGTGGCTGGTTACTCAGGCCTCCATGCGAATCTGGCATCACTGTGGCATCTTGCTGTGTGGGAGAAATATCTCCAACCAAGACAAAGAGATTGCGATGGCAGAAGTAGTAGTCAGTGCCAAATTTTACCCTCTAATTCAATGGTAGGGCTGAATCTTAGTGCTCCTCAAAATAAGGGAGCGAGAGCCTTTGGGTCATGCCAGGATAGGCTTCTCGTGCTCCTATCAATCCCAATCCCACACCTTTTCTGCCACTAGAGTTCAGTCCTGATAGGCAAACCCCTTCTTCAATAGTCTAGTCCTAACTCCCCCAACAGCTCTGCCGCAGCACCTCAGTCCTACCACACGACAGTCAGAGGTACAACACGCCTCCAAGTGAGTGACAGATTGTGGCCAGTAAAGTCGTGTTACCTAGTTATGAATTGAAGTGCAAAGCCAGCTCTCCCAGAGCAACAAGTGTTACCCTCCTCCATCCTAAATTCCCTCAGCGATTCTATTTTCACAGCTTCTCCCATGGCTCCAAATCCAGTGGTGACAGCAAGTGCTTGGCAACCTCAAATACCTGCCAGTGCTCCCATGTGAGGCATGGGGAGTGTCTGGCCAAGTTGCCCATTCAGATGGGGATGAGCAGGATAAATCCTGATGGAGGCTTTCACCTAACAGTGGACTGTCCTAAACTGCTGTGTGGTGTTGCTGTTTGTGTATTTGATGGTGAGAGTCTTACAGTTATACAGCACCTTTCATCCCAAATCATGCAACAGACTTAAACTCACCAGAGGGGTCACTTCACCCACCTCTGAAATGCAACAAATGAAACACAGCAGTTGTTTAGCAGCATCGCACAACAGTCGAAGGAAGGAAGTAAAGAGGAATACTTAACAGAAAACATTGGATCCGTACTTAATAATAAAAGTACGGAGCGCTATTACAGACCATGGGCTCGGCCGCGAAGGGAATAGCAGTATCGTTCTTCTCACTTTGCGGACTGAGGTACAGACCAGTGACTGCCTCAGATCACAGGGAGTTAGCGGTAGAACCCAGACATCCTGCCGCTAAAGTCCCACGCTCTGCCCCTGCTTTATCCCTTCCAGCACGAGTCTGGTGGTGAGTACTGCAGATTTCAATGGGAGTTAGGTGGCTCAATACCTTGAAGGATCTGTGCCTCTAGGCCTGTTTCCACATCTGCCCACAGGGAGAATAATCCTTCCTTTCTCTCCCCTGCCCGCCTTTTCTCTCTCGTTAATGTAGCCTGTAAACTCTTAAGTTTGTGCAACAGCTCCTAGCACCATGAGGCCCTGATCTCAGCTAAGGTCACTAGACACTACTATAATGCAAATCAATAATCCATTTCAGCAGCAGATGCACTGATTCCTATCTTCTGTTCGTGAAAAGCACTAGGACCCCCTTCAGGATGAAAGGTAAGATATTCTTGTTGTTTTGTTTAAGGCCCTGGCTTTAAAGCTCCTATCTGCTACCCTTAAAGTCCATCTTGTAGTGTTGTCCACACTTGCTCCCCACATAGTGGACAAATAATTTGCATAATTTAATTAAATTTAAGTAATCTTCCCTGAAGCCTGCCTCTAAATGATGCTGTGTACATGGTCTTAAAGCAAATCAGTGCAAAACGATGCAAAAGCCTATTTCAGTTAAGCAAATTATGAGGCGGCAGGTGACGTCCTCAGTATAATAATTCTCTGTGAATTATTTATATGGAATCTGCAATTACATTGAGCAAAACAGTGTTGTGTGCATAAAGCACACTTAATTAGCCAACCACCTGTTATGAATTCAGGCACAGCCAATAGTGGGATCCCTTATAAATTATCCTGCTGCGGTAGTAGTAGGTTATCGACATGGTGAGGGAAAGGAGGAGATAGGTCAGGAATAATTGAGGGACACACCCTCTGAGTAAAACAGAGCAGTGGAAAGGAATTGCCCAACTTCCGTGGCTACTCAGCTGAAACTAAGAAACAAGCGATTTCAGAGGCAAGTTTGGCCAAGCTCAGTGCTAGCTCTCGTCTTTCTTCACCCTACCGCTTATCCTCGTCACTCCACCCATACAGGCTCCAAGTGCGTGCGTTACACTCTGATTTCTGGGGCCTTTTCTGTGCATCTGCAGGCACCAAGAATCTGTCAGTTTGTCATCCCTCTGAATTCTTATGTTGGCACCCATCATGGTATCATCCAAATCCCATCTCTGACTTAGTCCATCACCAGTCCCACTTGACATGCACCTTTTCCAAAAGGCCTGTTGATCCCCATCCCTCCCTATGGGGAAGTGCTAACAGACACCCAAGCTAGTTCCAAATAGAACTAACAGACTTAACAAGAAGTGAGCAAGACTTTGCCAGACATTACACTACTGTTTGTTACATCCTAGGCCTCCATGCTTCCATTCATACATTGTGTACTTAGGCTGCAAGCACCTCAAGCTGGGATTCCTGTTGTCCTACCTATCTACTGGTTAACACAGCTGTGGCAGATGTCCATGAGAAATCAACCCCAAGGTATGGAGATGCTGCCATTTTAGCTCATCTTCCTCCTGTGCTATGATGAAGTTTAGAGCTAACACTAAAAACAGCCTGGATGGAGCTGCATGAGGAGGCTGCAGGAAAGGAAATGGGGTTGGGTCATGATGGGCTTGCATTCATTCTGTTAGGTCAGCAAATGACCAGGGATGTGGTACATATAAGCCATCTGGGACCTCAGAGCATTGAAAATTTAAATTCATGGAGGATAGGTCCACCAATGGCTATTAGCCAGGATGGGCAGGGATGGTTTCCCTAGCCTCTGTTTGCCAGAAGCTGGGAATGGATCACTTAATGACAACCTGTTCTGTTCATTCCCTCTGGGGCACCTGGCACTGGTTACTGTCAGAACATCCAGCCCCCGCTGCCACTCCTGGGTCCCTTCCCATTGCCCTGAGCTCCCTTCTGTGGCCTCACTCCCCAGGCCCACGCTGCTCCTTGCCTCTTGACCATGGCAGCTGGAAAGCAGCAGCTTCTGGTTCAGCCCCAGCCCAAAATAAGCACCGATAGCACCCCCCTGACTATGGTGTCCTGGGCACTCGCCTACCTGTAGGGCCAGACCTGCCTGCTAATACATTTCTCTGCCATGCAAACAGGGGGGCCAGAGCTCTCATTACAGAGAAGCGCTAGCCAGCTCTGCAATTCTGACCTGCAACCCCCCACTGCTATACCACTCCTGGGCTTCTCCTATGCAGAAATCACCTATCGAGCACACCATGTAGTACTTTTATCTGTTGCAGAAATGTCCTGTTTGACCTCAGTGGAGATCTTTCACTCATTTTGCACATGCTGTAATGTCAGATGCAAGCCCCCTCTTCAGAAAATGGAAAAAGTCTCTCCCCTTCAAGTTCATTAGCCCAAAGTGGGGCAGATGTTGTCTGGGGCAGAAAGCAGAAGTTAGTTGTTGAGTGAGTGGCCCCCAGGAGCATGTACTCTTTCCCCATCAGATATTGGGCCATTTTTGAATGTTTAATAGGAAAGAAATGAGGGTAAATCTTTAAAGGAGAAAAACAATGTACAAATGTATGAGAATATTAAAAGGCAACAATTAACTTTATTGGAAACCTTATATTCTCCAGCCTCATTAGAGCTGCCAACACGATCTATTATTAGTATTACTATGCAGATAATGTAATAAAAAGGGTATTTAAAGTAGATAGTTTTGGATTGAAATAAAATAGCTTTTCTTTCCCTTTCTCTTGCTCACTCTCTTTTTAAAAAGTTAGATCATACCAGAGGCATTACGCAAGTGTTTGATCATCCCAACATGCAGAGGGGGAAGGGTCTGCACCCCTTCTTTTGAAAATGTTTTCTGGCAAAAACAGATCTTCATTAACATCAGGATAACGAATAATGCACTGCACTCACTGAGCATCTCATGGAGCCTTGGAGAAGCTCAGAACACTCTGCAGCCATTAATGAATGAATCCTCACAGTCCCCAGCATTCATATTAACCTAGACTTCATCGATGCGGGAAACTGAAGTGCAGAGAAGTGAGTGCCACACGGTGCATCAATTGCAGAGCAAGGGAGAGAACCCAGGAGCCCTGACTCCTATGACGTCTCCTATTTTGAAACGAGGACCTGCTTGGGCATGCTTCTATCTGCATCATTCCCTGTAACAGCTCTCAGCTCTACCAACCATCCCACCAGTGCACTGATTGCACACACCATTAACCCCAGCAAGGGGGCTAACCAGCATGTTGTGTCTGTGCTCTCCACACAGCTCTAAGAGGTGAGAAAACCACAGTTGGGTTCCAGATAAGTGTGTTTCCTAGCACTACGCCAACTCACAAGGCCACCTACATATGTGCACTGCTGTTCTCTCAGGTTCTGGTGGCTCATGCAATAGAAAGCAGTTGTATGAGGCCCTCAGGGGTCCCAAACTATTTAAAGGGATAATACACAATCCCTGTATGCTGCCCTGTGGTTTCACAGTTGCGGGTTTACACACCACTCCTGGTAGATGGAGAACTGAGCTGTGAGGATAAGCCCAGGGGATTGGACAGGAGCTGGCGTCCATCGGTGGATCCCTCTCTTTTTCCAGTGATCCACACCATGAAGCTGCTGGACTCCTACCTTTAAACTTCAGTGCAGCTGCCCTTTCCCTGTTCCTCACTGGGACAGTAGAGGGGCACAGCACTTTTATGAGGGAGAGGGAGTATGGGGGCAGGGGGGCTATGCTGAGAAGAGCTGCTGAAAGTGCACAGGCCAAACAGAAGAAAGATCAGGGTTTGGTTTTTTGAAAACCCCCACGAGAAGCTGAGCAGGGCTGGTTCTCACGCTTTGGTTAGCTCACAGGATGGTTTGTCCAGCTGTGACTGTAGGTACCATCTAGGGTCCTCCACTGTGATGACTGGCTAGCACAGTAGAGGAATTCCTCACAATGGGAAGCCCAGGGCATGAGGCTCCAGTACCATGTGTTACCATGGTGGGGCAGACCATGGGGCAACCCCCTCCACCCTGCAAGCACACCCAGCAACAACAGCAGCTGTTCCTGCAGGGTCAGAGAAACCAAGGGTTGCACACTAGTGCTCAGATCCCTTGGTATGGGCACCCGAGAAATACCTGAGACAGGTGGTCAGATAGAGAGTAACAAGTGCTCACCCACACGGACACCCTGTGCCCATAGACACACCATTAAGAATGCCACAGCAAGGGCTGTTTCTGTAATTCACCGCCCCTGTGCATGGGTCATTTTGCTCCTGCTGTCATTATTGATCAAGTGCCAAACACAGCAGCCCTGAGAGATTTGGGACCTGGCCGTGCCAGGCTGATAACCTGCTCTGCCATATCTGTTTGGTGCATTTGCTTGGGCCCCACAGAGACAGCTGCCACTGCCTGACCAATGGCAGTTGGCTCTTCCTGTTCAGTCATTCCTGGGCCCTGCCAACGGAGGGCGCTACTCAGAGGGTCAGCACCAACTTGCCACCACCATACAGAGCTAGGGCAAGTTAGAGGAGAGGGATGGCTGCAGGAGGCTGAGCGCACAAGACATGGAGAGGATACAGCCTCGTGCAATGGCACCAGGAGACAGTTAGGGACAGCAGGAGGAGCAATGCCATTATCAAAGCAGAAAGCATCACGAGTGTTATGTCCTGGAGACAGTGCACACTAGCAGACTCCCCTCACTGCAATGACTGAGTGGAGTGTGCGTGCATGTTTGCACGTGGATGTAAACACAGACTGCTGCCAGATATCTTATAGCACATAAGTGGGGAAACAATTTGCATAACTTAATTAAAATTTTACAGTAATCTTCAACTAGTCAGGTTCTAACAAACACAGAACTCTCTGCCTTAAACCCCAAAGGTTAATTAGTCTCTCATAGGTGTCTGCCACCTCAAGGAAAGCAAATTGCAGAAGAGCAACAGTTGATTTGCCTTGGTTTTTGACTGGTTGAATACAGTAAATGAACAGCTGATTAAACAGGGCCATGAAAACCAAACTAGGCCTAGGAATCTAGCTTGGAATGGACACTATCTCCAGTTGCCAGGCCAGAGATTTGCTCCTGCTCTTTGTACTAATCACTGTTCACTCACATTGAATAGGCTAGCTATGCTGCCAAATGTGCCAGGTGCAGACAGGCTAGAGAGCATCATAGGAATTGCCATCCTGTATAAGACCATTGTCCAGAATCCAGTGCCCTCTCATCAACAACGCCAGCACCAGCTGCTTCAGAGAAAGGTGCAAGAAACCCTGCAGTTCTGGGATAACCTGCCCCCAGAGACAACTTCTTCATGGCCCTCAAAAGCTAAAGCCTGGATGAAGTCCTGAAGCCTAAAGATAGATACTAGAACTGGTCAGAAAATGAATTCCCCCCTTCCCTCCCAGAAAATTTTGACTTCACCAAAAAACCAAAACCTGAACATTTTTGCCAAAAAGGTTTTTGAATGTTTGGGGCAAAATGAAAAACTTGAGGAAAGCAGACATTCCTCCAAAATAGTTGTTTAATCAAAAATCTTATTGTCCACAGGAAAAAAGTTCCAGTGAAAGTTTCCTACCATCCCTGCTAATGACCTCACACAGACAGAGCAACTCTGCTTTGTATTGGGAAAGAAATCTTTCTTTGCATCATCAAATTGTATACGGTCTGATTTCTATTTTATTTGATGTGAAACACTTCCATTTCTTGTTCTTGTCATTTACTCTTGCCCATGGTTAGACACATGGGTTAGAATCTCTATCCTTTCACACTCCCACTTCCATTTAACCAAATTACATCTGGGCAGCAGGTGGGCATGGGAGAGGAACAAGCACTTAAGGAGTCAACAAAAATATAGGTTACATTTGGTGACAAAAAATTCCTGCATAAAAATATCAGGGCTCATTTTCCTCCCACCTCCTTTCCTGAGTTTTGTTCTGAATCACAGCTTTAAATATGAATATACAAACACAAAATGGAACTCAACTGCAGCATTAAGTCAGTGGAGTTACCCCCCTTGTAAAACTGGCATAAATGAGAAGAGATTCAGGTCCTTTCCCTCCTCCAAGGCCCATGCAGAACACTGTCCTGTGGGAGTAGCAAGTGCCACGGCCTAGCAGCTTCGGCACAGAAAGGGGATTTGAGAGGTTATGTGGGCTGGTTGGGAATGAACAGACCTGCTCTTGAAATCCGTAAGCCGTTTGTGAACAGTGGTTTTTCAGCCAGCGTTGGGCTTCTCAGCATTGCTGCGCGGAGCGAAGTGGTGTTCAGGGACTCGGAACATGGACTCTTATCATAAAAAAAGAATTGTTTAATTTGTGGGTTTAAATTTTAAATAAGTCTGCCAGAGGAGAGCAGCTCCTGGGTTGCTCTCAGCTCTCGACCTTGCACTCAGCTGCTCCATTCAAATTCCATTTCTGCAAGAGCCCCGCAGTGGGGATTCAAATACCATTTAAATTAGCTCATTTCTCTCATTCCTCTGAATGTCTCTCTGCTGCAGAACACAGGGCAGGACAGCTCTGCCATGGTCCCTGTCTTCCCATATGGATGGTGTGTGACATCCTCTGTTCTGTTCTATTCTCTAGAGGTTTTTATACCATGCTCATCACTGTAATATCTCAGCACCTGTTGGGCATAGGACTCCACATAGAATCACAGAAATGTCGGGCTAGAAGGGACCTTGAGAGGTCATCTAGTCCATCCCCCGGTGCTGAGACAGGACCAAGGAAAGCTAGACTGTCCCTGGCATGTGTTTGTCTAGCCTGTTCTAATAGGAGGCATGTAAAAACTTCCTCATCACTGGATGTTTTAGAGATGGAAACATTGGCACAGAAGGATCACTTTATACATTTGGGCTGAAATTTTTAAAACCTCTTATCAGGTTTCAAGATAACCAACCCCCAAGCATTCAAAATCACATCAGACCCCCAAAACTTTGAGATTTGCTTAGAAATAAGGAGATTTTCATAAGTTAATTTTTTTTTTAATTTCCTGCCTGGTTTTGAGCTTTTAGTGTGCAGATTTTCCAAAATTTCTCCACCATCCTAAGGCTGGGAACTTTTGAATGACAATTGTGTGGGTGAGACATGTGAATGCAGTGGACTCAACTTTCTCAGCAACTGACCCACAATTGCTGGGCTCTCTTCCACCAGGGATTCAAGTGGCCATGAATCTCATTACCTCATCTTTTTTAATGTGATGTCTGATTTGTAAAGCACTCGGATACCCAGAAGAACAAGGTAGAAATACCCAAAGAGATGCATTCTATTTCCTATTTCTTGAGTGATGCTAAAGCAGCTGTATTGCAGAGCAGATTTGGATAAATCTTGGTCTAAATGGCAATTTAGGGCCCAATTCTTCCAGCCTTTCTTACCTTTCATCTTAATTTGTGGAGTAAAAGGGTGGCAGTATCAGAAACTCAGAAAATGTAATATTTCCGATTGACTAGTTCAGGTCAGATGTCCAGTTGGACTCTAAGATGCCAGCAAATAGAACTTTGTCTCCATTGTAGCTGTTATTTCTTTTCTTCCCCTTGAGTTTATGCACATTGGCCCTGCAAGAGCTGAACTGGGCCAGGTGGGCCCAATCAACTAATTAGGCTGCAGACAGGGGAGCTTTAGGCTGGAGGCAGCTAATTAGAGAGAGGCTCACCTGTGCAGGAACAGGACAAGTCTATAAAGCCAGGTAGCAGGCTACAGACAAGCTGCTGGGACAGGCTGCAGGAATGCATGTAGCAGTCACTCCCTAGGAAGAGGGAGGAGTGTTTGGGGGGGCCTTAGGGAGAGTCTGCAGTCACCCCTTGGGTGGAGGGTTCTTGCGACTGGTACACCCAGAGGGAGAAGGGGAACCACAGTGTATGAAGCAGTCCGGGGAAAGGGCAGAGAGAGGAAGCCCAGAACTGTGGCACTGAGGGTCCCTGGACTGGAACCTGGAGGAGAGAGGAGGCCTGAGTTTCCTTACTAGCCACCAAGGAACTGAGGCAGTGAATAGGGGGACTGTACCTCAGAAGGGGAAACGCTGAGCAGAGTGGAGTACCCCAGAGGGTTAAGTCACAAAGGAGATGCTGAGGGTCCGGCGTGAGCAAGGAGCTGCAGCCCTGAGAGAGAGTGTAACAGTGTGAAGGGGTATCTACCTCAAGAGCTAACCCCCAGAGCGACCAAGAGCAGGCGCCAGACCAGCGGTGAGTGGAGCGCGCCGTGTGAGAGTTTGCCCCTAGATCCCCTTGTA